CATCCTGGGTGTTAGTCGACGGGTGTGGGTCACATCCTGGGTGTTAGTCGACTGGTGTGGGTCACATCCTGGGTGTTAGTGGACTGGTGTGGGTCACATCCTGGGTGTTAGTCGACTGGTGTGGGTCACATCCTGGGTGTTAGTGGACTGGTGTGGGTCACATCCTGGGTGTTAGTGGACTGGTGTGGGTCACATCCTGGGTGTTAGTGCACTTGTGTGGGTCACATCCTGGGTGTTAGTGGACTGGTGTGGGTCACATCCTGGGTGTTAGTGGACTGGTGTGGGTCACATCCTGGGTGTTAGTGCACTGGTGTGGGTCACATCCTGGGTGTTAGTGGACTGGTGTGGGTCACATCCTGGGTGTTAGTGCACTGGTGTGGGTCACATCCTGGGTGTTAGTGCACTGGTGTGGGTTGCATCCTGGGACACTGACCTAAGTTGCAGGTAATGCTCAGCATAACAAGGGGCTTTCTACATAGTAGTATGTCACTGATGTCAGCCAGGACTGTATACCATGTACATGTACTTGTAGTAAATAGATATATTGTGTACCTTCCGGGATGAATCCAGATATTAAACAGGAGAATCCGCCAAGCAGGAACACGAACGACAGTGAGCCCTTCCTTCCCATTCTGTGGAAGGAGAATCTTACAGTAACAACATACTCGTCTATCATACAGTGCAGAGTGTTATTCACTAACAACCTACAAGGCTCTCACACACTGTGTGTAATAAGGATCTTCCAGTAACAACCTCCAAGACTCTCACACTGTGTGTAATAAGGATCTTCCAGTAACAATCTCCAAGACTCTCACACTGTGTGTAATAAGGATCTTCCAGTAACAACCTCCAAGACTCTCACACTGTGTGTAATAAGGATCTTCCAGTAACAACTTCCAAGACTCTCACACTGTGTGTAATAAGGATCTTCCGGTAACAACCTCCAAGACTCTCACACTGTGTGTAATAAGGATCTTCCAGTAACAACTCTCACTGTGTGTAATAAGGATTATCCAGTAACAACCTCCAAGACTCTCACACTGTGTGTAATAAGGATCTTCCAGTAACAACTCACACTGTGTGTAATAAGGATTATCCAGTAACAACCTCCAAGACTCTCACACCGTGTGTAATAAGGATTATCCAGTAACAACCTCCAAGACTCTCACACCGTGTGTAATAAGGATTATCCAGTAACAACCTCCAAGACTCTCACACCGTGTGTAATAAGGATTATCCAGTAACAACCTCCAAGACTCTCACACTGTGTGTAATAAGGATTATCCAGTAACAAAGAAATAAACTTATTTAATGTTTAACCTTCCTATTATCTGATAAATATGATAAAATCAACAAATAAAAAATAACAATACAGGTAGTTAATTATCAGAAGTTCAAAGTAATACACATTCCAGGAACATTTCAAGATGTTTTAAGATTCTTATTACATTGGTACCTTGGGATACGAGCACCTCAAAATTCGAACAATTATGTAAGCGTATTTTTGTAAGTGCTTTTGCAAGTGTACTTTTGGGGGTCTGAAACTGATTAATCTAATTTATGTTATTCCTTATGGGAATAAATTCGTTCGGTATCGTAACTCGAATAGCCTTCTGGAACTACAGTGGACCCCCGCCTAATGATTACCTCCGAATGTGACCAATTATGTAAGTGTATTTATGTAAGTGCGTTTGAACGTGTATGTTTGGGGGTCTGAAATGGACTAATCTACTTCACAATATTCCTTATGGGAACAAATTCGGTCAGTACTGGCACCTGAACATACTTCTGGAGTGAAAAAATATCGTTAACCGGGGGTCCACTGTAATTAAGTTCGTAACCCGAGGTATCACTATTGTTTTGTTTAGCACATTTTGTTTATTATCTGATGAGTGCTGTGTATCTCTCCTTTTTTTCAATATGTTGGCCGTCTCCCACCGAGGCAGGGTGACCCAAAAAAGAAAGAAAATCACCAAAAAGAAAATACTTTCATTATCATTAAACACTTCACCTCATACATAATTACTATCTTTGTAGAGGCACTCAGATACAACAGTTTAGAAGTCCCTCCAAACTGCCAGTATCTCAAACCCCTAAAAGTGCAGGCACTGTAATTCCCATTTAAAGGACTCAAGTCCGGCTAACCAGTTTCCCTGAATCCCTTATCTCAGTATATATATACACTCAACTTTAATACCAAAAGGACCCAAACACATGACTGTTTTTATGACAGTTATGAGTTGTTAGGCTTTATGCATAATTAACATAGGCATAAGTTATCTTTCTGAACTTTGCAAGGAATGAAGATATTACCTGACAGAGTCCATATATTTCTAGAATTACCAACAATATGTTTAGTAAAAGGACACAAGTGCAACTAATGTGACGTTTTATTGCGGCAACGTTTCGCTCTCCAGGAGCTTTATCAAGCCGTACAAACACAAAATAAAACATCACATTAGTTATACCTGTGTTCTTTTAGTTTACAAGTTATTACCTGTCAAGGATAAAGAACGAGAAGATGTAGGATGGAATCTCAATCAGCATAATAACGATGAAATTAACAAAGATATTGCCACCCAAACTGCCAGAATTGGAGGAGAGTCCATAGTACACCAGAGCGCACACAGACCTGTCAGATATATTATTATTATTACCATTACATTCACCTTTGTAACATGGTCATGATTGTGACGATCTAGTTCATTACCTTTGTAACTGGTCATGATTGTGACGATCTAGTTCATTACCTTTGTAACTGGTCATGATTGTGACCAGATCTACCTGGGGTTCATTACCTTTGTAACTGGTCATGATTGTGACCAGATCTACCTGGAGTTCATTACCTTTGTAACTGGTCATGATTGTGACCAGATCTACCTGGAGTTCATTACCTTTGTAACTGGTCATGACTGTGACCAGATATACCTGGAGTTTATTACCTTTGTAACTTGTCAAGATTGTGACCAGATCTACCTGGAGTTCATTACCTTTGTAACTGGTCATGATTGTGACCAGATCTACCTGGAGTTCATTACCTTTGTAACTGGTCATGATTGTGACCAGATCTACCTGGAGTTCATTACCTTTGTAACTGTCATGATTGTGACCAGATCTACCTGCAGTTCATTACCTTTGTAACTGGTCATGATTGTGACCAGATCTACCTGGAGTTCATTACCTTTGTAACTAGTCATGATTGTGACCAGATCTACCTGGAGTTCATTACCTTTGTATCTAGTCATGATTGTGACCAGATCTACCTGGAGTTCATTACCTTTGTAACTGGTCATGATTGTGACCAGATCTACCTGGAGTTCATTACCTTTGTAACTAGTCATGATTGTGACCAGATCTACCTGGAGTTTATTACCTTTGTAACTAGTCATGATTGTGACCAGATCTACCTGGAGTTCATTACCTTTGTAACTGGTCATGATTGTGACCAGATCTACCTGGAGTTCATTACCTTTGTAACTGGTCATGATTGTGACCAGATCTACCTGGAGTTCATTACCTTTGTAACTAGTCATGATTGTGACCAGATCTACCTGGAGTTCATTACCTTTGTAACTGGTCATGATTGTGACCAGATCTACCTGGAGTTCATTACCTTTGTAACTGGTCATGATTGTGACCAGATCTACCTGGAGTTCATTACCTTTGTAACTGGTCATGATTGTGACGAGATCTACCTGGAGTTCATTACCTTTGTAACTGGTCATGATTGTGACCAGATCTACCTGGAGTTCATTACCTTTGTAACTAGTCATGATTGTGACCAGATCTACCTGGAGTTCATTACCTTTGTAACTAGTCATGATTGTGACCAGATCTACCTGGAGTTCATTACCTTTGTAACTGGTCATGATTGTGACCAGATCTACCTGGAGTTCATTACCTTTGTAACTGGTCATGATTGTGACCAGATCTACCTGGAGTTCATTACCTTTGTAACTGGTCATGATTGTGACCAGATCTACATGGAGTTCATTACCTTTGTAACTGGTCATGATTGTGACCAGATCTACCTGGAGTTCATTACCTTTGTAACTGGTCATGATTGTGACCAGATCTTACCTGGAGTTCATTACCTTTGTAACTGGTCATGATTGTGACCAGATCTACCTGGAGTTCATTACCTTTGTAACTGGTCATGACTGTGACCAGATCTACCTGGAGTTCATTACCTTTGTAACTGGTCATGATTGTGACCAGATCTACCTGCAGTTCATTACCTTTGTAACTTGTTCAGCTATCAAAACTTTGGAGTCTAGTCTCTAGACCCATTATGTACTTCAGTAATGTTGAGGTACAGCCCCTGGACCCATTACATACCTCTGTAATGTTGAGGTACAGTCCCTGGACCCATTATGTACTTCAGTAATGTTGAGGTACAGTCCCTGGACCCATTACGTACCTCTGTAATGTTGAGGTACAGTCCCTGGACCCATTATGTACCTCTGTAATGTTGAGGTACAGTCCCTGGACCCATTATGTACTTCAGTAATGTTGAGGTACAGTCCCTGGACCCATTATGTACCTCTGTAACATTGAGTTACAGACCCTGGACCCATTATGTATCTGTAATGTTGAGGTACAGTACCTGGACCCATTATGTACCTCTGTAATGTTGAGGTAAAGTCCCTGGACCCATTATGTACCTCTGTAATGTTGAGGTACAGTCCCTGGACCCATTATGTACCTCGGTAATGTTGAGGTCCAATCCCTGGACCCATTATGTACCTCTGTAATGTTGAGGTATAGTCCCTGGACCCATTATGTACCTCTGTAATGTTGAGGTACAGTCCCTGGACCCATTATGTACCTCTGTAATGTTGAGGTACAGTCCTTGGACACATTATGTACCTCTGTAATGTTGAGGTACAGACCCTGGACCCATTATGTACCTCTCTGATGTTGAGGTAAAGACCCTGGACCCATTATGTACCTCTGTATTACTGAGATACAGTCCCTGGACCCATTATGTACCTCTGTAATGTTGAGGTACAGTTCCTAGACCCATTATGTACCTCTGTAATGTCGAGGAACAGTCTCTGGACCCATTATGTACCTCTGTAATATTGAGGTACAGACCCTGGACCCATTATGTATCTGTAATGTTGAGATACAGTCCCTGGACCCATTATGTACCTCTGTAATGTTGAGGTAAGGTCCCTGGACCCATTATGTAACTCTGTTATATTAAGGTACAGTCCCTGGACCCATTATGTACCTCTGTAATGTTCAGGTACAGTCCCTGGACCCATTATGTACCTCTGTGATGTTGAGGTAAAGACCCTGGACCCATTATGTACCTCTGTAATGTTGAGGTACAGTCCTTGGACCCATTATGTACCTCTGTAACATTGAGGTACAGTCCCTGGACCCATTATGTACCTCTGTAATGTTGAGGTACAGTTCCTGAGCCCATTACATACCTCTGTAATGTTGAGGTAGAGTCCCTGGACCCATTATCTACCTCTGTAATATTGAGGTACAGACCCTGGACCCATTATGTATCTGTAATGTTGAGATACAGTCCCTGGACCCATTATGTACCTCTGTAATGTTGAGGTGCAGTCCCTGGACCCATTATGTACCTCTGTAACATTGAGGTACAGACCCAGGACCCATTATGCATCTGTAATGTTGAGGTACAGTCCCTGGACCCATTATGTACCTCAGTAATGTTGAGGTACAGTCCCTGGACCCATTATGTACCTCTGTAGTCTTTCGACTACCGCCCACAGGATGGATACGAGGTGCATAATACAATATTAAAGTTCACATACAGACATTAAGCCCTTAATGGTAACACAGAGCCTGGCCATGAACACTTTTATACTTTTTTCTTGAAGGATGTCGTACAGATAGCGGTAAAATGGGTACCTGGGTGCTAGTGAACTGGTGTGGGTGGCATCCTGGGTGTTAATGAACTGGTGTGGGTCACATCCTTGTTGTTAGTGGACTGCAGTGGGTCATCTCCTGGGTGTTAGTGGACTGGTGTGGGTCACATCCTGGGTGTTAGTGGACTGGTGTGGGTCACATCCTGGGTGTTAGTGGACTGGTGTGGGTGGCATCCTGGGTGGTAGTGGACTGGTGTGGGACACATCCTGGGTGTTAGTGGACTGGTGTGGGACACATCCTGGGTGTTAGTGGACTGGTGTGGGTCACATCCTGGGTGTTAGTGGACTGGTGTGGGTCACATCCTGGGTGTTAGTGGACTGGTGTGGGTCACATCCTGGGTGTTAGTGGACTGGTGTGGGTGCATCCTGGGTGTTAGTGGACTGGTGTGGGTCACATCCTGGGTGTTAGTGGACTGGTGTGGGTCACATCCTGGGTGTTAGTGGACTGGTGTGGGTGCATCCTGGGTGTTAGTGGACTGGTGTGGGTGGCATCCTGGGAGTTAGTGGACTGGTGTGGGTGGCATCCTGGGTGTTAGTGGACTGGTGTGGGTGGCATCCTGGGTGTTAGTGGACTGGTGTGGGTGGCATCCTGGGTGTTAGTGGACTGGTGTGGGTCATCCTGGGTGCTAGTGAACTGGTGTGGGTGGCATCCTGGGTGTTAGAGGACTGGTGTGGGTGGCATCCTGTGTGTTAGTGGACTGGTGTGGGTGGTATCCTGGGTGTTAGTGGACTGGTGTGGGTGGCATCCTGGGTGTTAGCGGACTGGTGTGGGTGGCATCCTGGGTGTTAGTGGACTGGTCTAGGTGGCATCCTGGGTGTCAGTGGACTGGTGTGGGTGGCATCCTGGGTGTTAGTGAACTGATGTGGGTGGCATCCTGGGTGCTAGTGAACTGGTGTGGGTGGCATCCTGGGTGTTAGTGGACTGGTGTGGGTGGCATCCTGGGTGTTAGTGAACTGGTGTGGGTCACATCCGGGGTGTTAGTGAACTGGTGTGGGTGGCATCCTGAGTGTTAGTGGACTGGTGTTGGTCACATCCTGTGTGTTAGTGGATTGGTGTGGGTCACATCCTGGGTGTTAGTGGACTGGTGTGGGTGCATCCTGGGTGTTAGTGGACTGGTGTGGGTCACATCCTGGGTGTTAGTGGACTGGTGTGGGTCACATCCTGGGTGTTAGTGGACTGGTGTGGGTGCATCCTGGGTGTTAGTGGACTGGTGTGGGTGGCATCCTGGGTGTTAGTGGACTGGTGTGGGTGGCATCCTGGGTGTTAGTGGACTGGTGTGGGTGGCATCCTGGGTGTTAGTGGACTGGTGTGGGTCATCCTGGGTGCTAGTGAACTGGTGTGGGTGGCATCCTGGGTGTTAGAGGACTGGTGTGGGTGGCATCCTGTGTGTTAGTGGACTGGTGTGGGTGGTATCCTGGGTGTTAGTGGACTGGTGTGGGTCACATCCTGGGTGTTAGTGGACTGGTGTGGGTCACATCCTGGGTGTTAGTGGACTGGTGTGGGTCACATCCTGGGTGTTAGTGGACTGGTGTGGGTCACATCCTGGGTGTTAGTGGACTGGTGTGGGTGCATCCTGGGTGTTAGTAGACTTGTGTGGGTGGCATCCTGGGTGTTAGTGGACTGGTATGGGAGGCATCCTGGGTGTTAGTGGACTGGTGTGGGTGGCATCCTGGGTGTTAGTGGACTGGTGTGGGTGGCATCCTGGGTGTTAGTGGACTGGTGTGGGTCACATCCTGGGTGCTAGTGAACTGGTGTGGGTGGCATCCTGGGTGTTAGTGGACTGATGTGGGTGGCATCCTGGGTGTTAGTGGACTGGTGTGGGTGGCATCCTGGGTGTTAGTGGACTGGTGTGGGTGGCATCCTGGGTGTTAGCAGACTGGTGTGGGTGGCATCCTGGGTGTTAGTGGACTGGTCTAGGTGGCTTCCTGGGTGTCAGTGGACTGGTGTGGGTGGCATCCTGGGTGTTAGTGGACTGGTGTGTGTGGCATCCTAGGTGTTAGTGGACTGGTGTGGGTCACATCTCGGTGTTAGTGGACTGGTGTGGGTCACATCATGAGTGTTAGTGGACTGGTGTGGGTCACATCCTGGTGTTAGTGGACTGGTGTGGGTCACATCCTGGGTGTTAGTGGACTGGTGTGGGTCACATCCTGGGTGTTAGTGGACTGGTGTGGGTGGCATCCTGAGTGTTAGTGGACTGGTGTGGGTCACATCCTGGGTGTTAGTGGACTGGTGTGGGCCACCTCCTGGGTGTTAGTGGACTGGTGTGGGTCACATCCTGGGTGTTAGTGGACTGGTGTGGGTCACATCCTGGGTGTTAGTGGACTGGTGTGGGTGGCATCCTGGGTGTTAGTGGACTGGTGTGGGTCACATCTCGGTGTTAGTGGACTGGTGTGGGTCACATCATGAGTGTTAGTGGACTGGTGTGGGTCACATCCTTGTTGTTAGTGGACTGCAGTGGGTCATCTCCTGGGTGTTAGTGGACTGCAGTGGGTCATCTCCTGGGTGTTAGTGGACTGGTGTTGGTCACATCCTGTGTGTTAGTGGATTGGTGTGGGTCACATCCTGGGTGTTAGTGGACTGGTGTGGGTCATATCCTGGGTGTTAGCAGACTGGTGTGGGTCACATCCTGGGTGTTAGTGGACTGGCGTGGGTCACATCCTGGGTGTTAGTGGACTGGTGTGGTTGGCATCCTGGGTGTTAGTGGACTGATGTGGGTTGCATCCTGGGTGCTAGTGAACTGGTGTGGGTGGCATCCTGGGTGCTAATGGACTGGTGTGGGTGGCATCCTGGGTGTTAGTGAACTGATGTGGGTTGCATCCTGGGTGCTAGTGAACTGGTGTGGGTGGCATCCTGGGTGCTAGTGAACTGGTGCGGGTGGCATCCTGGGTGCTAGTGAACTGGTGTGGATGGCATCCTGGGTGCTAGTGAACTGGTGTGGGTCACATCCTGGGTGTTAGTGGACTGGTGTGGGTCACATCCTGGGTGTTAGTGGACTGGTGTGGGTCACATCCTTGGTGTTAGTGGACTGGTGTGGGTGGCATCCTGGATGTTAGTGGACTGGTGTGGGCCACATCCTGGGTGTTAGTGGACTGGTGTGGGTCACATCCTGGGTGTTAGTGGACTGGTGTGGGTGGCATCCTGAGTGTTAGTGGACTGGTGTGGGTCACATCCTGGGTGTTAGTGGACTGGTGTGGGTGGCATCCTGGGTGTTAGTGGACTGGTGTGGGTCACATCCTGGGTGTTAGTGGACTGGTGTGGGTGGCATCCTGAGTGTTAGTGGACTGGTGTGGGTCACATCCTGGGTGTTAGTGGACTGGTGTGGGTCAAATCCTGGGTGTTAGTGGACTGGTGTGGGTCACATCCTGGGTGTTAGTGGACTGGTGTGGGTCACATCCTGGGACAAAACTGACATAATTTGCGGGAAATGCTCAGCATAACAAGGTACTTTCTATATAGTAGTATGTCATTGATGTCAACTATTGTCTGTATACCTTGTACATGTATACCTTGTACATGTATACCTTGTATACCTTGCACATGTATACCTTGTACATGTATACCTTTCACATTTATACCTTGTACATGTATACCTTGTGCATGTATACCTTGTACATATATACCTTGTACATGTATACCTTGTGCATGTATACCTTGTACATGTATACCTTGTACATGTATACCTTCCACATTTATACCTTGTACATGTATACCTTGTGCATGTATACCTTGTACATGTATACCTTGTACATGTGTACCTTGTACATGTATACCTTGTACATGTATACCATGTACATGTATACCTTGTACATGTATACATTGTACATGTATACCTTGCACATGTATACCTTGTACATGTATACCTTGTGCATGTATACTTTGTACATGTATACCTTGTGCATGTATACCTTGTACATGTATACCTTGTACATGTATACCTTGTACATGTATGCCAAGCCCATGATGACACTCTTCAGGTCACTTGTTCTATCTAGGCTGGAATATTGCTGCACACTAACAGCACCTTTCAAGGCAGGTGAAATTGCCGACCTAGAAAATGTACAGAGAACCTTCACGGCGCGCATAACGGAGATAAAACACCTCAATTACTGGGAGCGCTTGAGGTTTCTAAACCAGTATTCCCTGGAACGCAGGAGGGAGAGATACATGATTATATACACCTGGAAAATCCTAGAGGGACTAGTACCGAACTTGCGCACGAAAATCACTCACTACGAAAGCAAAAGACTTGGCAGACGATGCACCATCCCCCCAATGAAAAGCAGGGGTGTCACTAGCACGTTAAGAGACCATACAATAAGTGTCAGAGGCCCGAGACTGTTCAACTGCCTCCCAGCATACATAAGGGGGATTACCAATAGACCCCTGGCAGTCTTCAAGCTGGCACTGGACAAGCACCTAAAGTCGGTTCCTGACCAGCCGGGCTGTGGCTCGTACGTTGGTTTGCGTGCAGCCAATAGTAACAGCCTGGTTGATCAGGCTCTGATCCACCAGGAGGCCTGGTCACAGACCGGGCCGCGGGGGCGTTGATCCCCGGAACTCTCTCCAGGTAAACTCCAGGTAAACTTGTGTACCTTGTACATGTATACCTTGTACATGTATACCTTGTACATGTATACCTTGTGCATGTGTACCTTGTACATGTATACCTTGTACATGTATACCTTGTACATTTATACCTTGTACATGTATACCTTGTACATGTATACCTTGTACATGTATACCTTGTGCATGTATACCTTGTACATGTGTACCTTGTACATGTATACCTTGTACATGTGTACCTTGTACATGTATACCTTGTACATGTGTACCTTGTACATGTATACCTTGTACATGTGTACCTTGTACATGTATACCTTGTACATGTGTACCTTGTACATGTATACCTTGTACATGTGTACCTTGTACATGTACTGATAGTAAGTAAAGATAATGTTATTATTAATGATATGGTGACTCCTGCAATATGTGAAAAAAATAACACATGTAATAAAATGCTGTACACTGTACTTCGGATTTTTACCTAACTAATAGGGTGAAAATGAAAGCTAAGAGAGTCAATTTCTCTCTTCGGTCCCAAGTTCCACAGGGTAAATAAGCCGTATGAAGCCCCTAACATTTCACGGATAGACCGTCTGAGATTTGCTGGCCCTCACATCTACCCAAAACACATACACCCAGGTTGGCAAAGGTGGTTGGGAAGTACGTCTTAACTGATAGATTTACCCCTCAAGGAAGGTGTAGGTAGTTTATACTATTAGTAAACTAATATTAGGATTATTGAGACAACTGTAGGTATTAGTAATGTAGACTTAATACCTTAACGTAATTAGGAATAGGCCTTTAATATAGGCAAACACTAGGTTATATTAGCTAGGGAGAACTGGCAGCCCAAGCTTGAACGACGAGGCGCAGGGTTTTGAGACACGAGTGCTTTCTTCTAAGATGGGACACCAACCTAGTAACACCACCGTGAACAGTAGAGCGGCACCCCTACCTGTCTACACATACTAGACCTGGGGAAATCTGGTGGAGGCACCTCGAAGCGCTGTAGATGCCCTCCTCTGTCAGGCCCATTACAGTACAACAAGATCTCCTTCTTTCTCAGTATTCTGGCCAGTTTCCGGGGGAAATTGCGATTGAGTTGCACTGTGGGTCTTTGTGCAGTCGGACGGCCGAAGACCAGTACGTACCGGCGTCCCCTATTTGTTAAGCTTAGAAGCTGGTGTCACTTCCTGCATAGTTATACTAAGGGATACACACCCCCTTGGAATCAGGAATTTCTGAGGTGCAGGCAGGTCACTAATACCAACTGAATATTTCGGGAATTAGGTTCCCGGCTCCACGTGGTGACTTGAAGGGAAAAGTTCAGAGGGGCTAAGGATTAAGGAGGTCGAAGACCGGGTGATATATTCTCCAACACCAAGTAAGCTAGTCCTCTATTCGTGCATGAAGGCAAGATTTCTTGCCACATCAGTTATTCATGGAAATGTGTCCTATAAGCCACTTGTGAGGCTGAGGTACCAGCCTCAAGGCTCAGTGTCAACAGAGCTTGCTAGGGTAGACAACTCACATGGAGGCAGTCCAGACAAATTTCCAGTCTCCACTTGTATACGAGAGAAATAACTTTTCAGTTGATATATTTTGGCAAATAAAGATATCCTTGTATCACACTTGTGTCCTATCCATCAATAAGAATCACAGGCAGACTCAGAATACTTACAGGAAATAGAACATGATGCATGTTCGCATCCTCGTTTTCGGAGTTCTAAACAGGTCAACTAGCGTCTTAATTTTATCTTTGTGTAGTGGTTCATTCACGAGTTCAATCTGACTGACGGAAACTGATGATGTTTCATCAGTAGTTGGAACCTGTTAGCAAGTATAACAAAAGTGCAATTAATAATAATAATAATACCTTTATTTACTACAAGTACATGTACATGGTATACAGTCCTAGCTGACAACAATGACATACTGCTATATAGGAAGCCCCTTGTTATGCTCCGCATGGATGCGACCCACACCAGTACACTAACACCCAGGTACCCATTTTTACTGATGGGGAATATAGACAACAGGTGGAAAGAAACACGCCCAATGTTTCTACTCTGGCTGGGAATCGAACCCAGACCCTCGCTGTGTGAAGCGAGAGCTTTAGCCACCAGATCCCAGGATTCCACATCACGAGAGTTAGTTCAAGTTCCGTAATAGCAAATACTGTAACTAAAATTGCTTCATATGCAGTACAAAGTTAGCACTCATTCTTATTTAAATTTCTCCAATAAGAAAGAAATAAACCATTCCACGGGTGGGGTTAGAACCCGCAATCAGAGCATAGGCTCAGTGGTGGCCTATGCTAACCTTCCTATGGTGTAGAAATATACCTAACTGGATGAATCTTATTGTAGCAGCTGGTCAAGTAGCTAATGCATCGGTCTGGAGTTGTATGACTCTCTGACCGTGGGTTCTAACCCCACCCAAAGTACGGTTTGTTTACAATCGTATCATTACGATTTCCTGAGTCAAGAAAGAAATCTCCCACAGACTAATTACCTCCACATTGTGATCATCCAGCAGATGTCTTGGTACCTCGACATTATTGACTCTTCCAACCGTCTCTATTATCTTCCTAGCTTCACCCCTGCGACCCTGAGCCATTAACCACCGAACACTCTCCGGCATTAACCTTAAAACCAAAATACAGAAAACATAAGAAAGAAGGAACACTGCAACAGGCCTACTGGCCTGCTTCATTTTATTTTGTATTATATTCCTAGGGAGATATGTGGAGATCTGCAGAGGGTTTCGAGGGATCAACGCCCCCTCGGTTTGGTCTGAGACCAGGCCTAGTGGTGGGTCAGGGTCTGATCAAGCTGGGTGTTACTGCTGGTCGCACGGTGTTATGCAAATTCATTGTTACCTTTATTGTTCAATATATATATATTATATATATATTATATATATATATATATATATTATATATATTATATAAAATATATTTTATTTATCTTTATCTTTATCGCACACAAAGTGGGAGTTGTCACAGTTGCTCTTTGCTGATGACACTGTGCTCTTGGGAGATTCTGAAGAGAAGTTGCAGAGGTTGGTGGATGAATTTGGTAGGGTATGCAAAAGAAGAAAATTAAAGGTGAATACAGGAAAGAGTAAGGTTATGAGGATAACAAAAAGATTAGGTGATGAAAGATTGGATATCAGATTGGAGGGAGAGAGTATGGAGGAGGTTAATGTATTCAGATATTTGGGATGTGGACGTGTCAGCGGATGGGTCTATGAAGATGAGGTGAATCATAGAATTGATGAGGGAAAAAGGGTGAGTGGTGCACTTAGGAGTCTGTGGAGACAAAGAACTTTGTCCTTGGAGGCAAAGAGGGGAATGTATGAGCGTATAGTTTTACCAACGCTCTTATATGGGTGTGAAGCATGGGTGATAAATGTTGCAGCGAGGAGAAGGCTGGAGGCAGTGGAGATGTCATGTCTGAGGGCAATGTGTGGTGTGAATATAATGCAGAGAATTCGTAGTTTGGAAGTTAGGAGGATGTGTGGATTCCCAAAAAACTGTTGTCCAGAGGGCTGAGGAAGGTTGTTGAGGTGGTTCGGACATGTAGAGAGAATGGAGCGAAACAGAATGACTTCAAGAGTGTATCAGTCTGTAGTGGAAGGAAGGCAGGGTGGGGTCGCCCTAGGAAAGGTTGGAGGGAGGGGGTAAAGGAGGTTTTGTGTGCGAGGGGCTTGGACTTCCAGCAGGCATGCGTGAGCGTGTTGATAGGATGAATGGAGACAAATGGTTTTTATACTTGACGTGCTGTTGGAGTGTGAGCAAAGTAACATTTATGAAGGGGTTCAGGGAAACGGGCAGGCCGGACTTGAGTCCTGGAGATGGGAAGTACAGTGCCTGCACTCTGAAGGAGGGGTGTTAATGTTGCAGTTTAAAAACTGTAGTGTAAAGCACCCTTCTGGCAAGACAGTGATGGAGTGAATGATGGTGAAAGTTTTTCTTTTTCGGGCCACCCCTGCTTGGTGGGAATCGGCCAGTGTGATAATAAAAAAAAATGTATATATATATATATATATATATATATATATATTATATATATATATATATATATATATATATATATATATATACAGGGAGGTAACAAAAAAAAAAAGGCACAATACCGTGACTGGAACGATACACAAATATCCCGCACATAGAAAAGAGAAGCTTACACGAAGTTTCGGTCCGACTTGGACCATTGACAAAGTCACACTAACCAGAAGTGGAGCAGGACGGCTATATATATACTACCACTACTACCTCTTCCTGCCTATATACAGCCGTCCTGCTCACCTCTGGTTAGTGTGACTTTGTAAATGGTCCAAGTCGGACCGAAAACGTCGTGGTAAGCTCCTCTCTTCTATATGCTGGTTATTTGTGTATAGGGAGGTAGCACCTCTCTCTCTCTCTCTCTCTCTCTCTATATATATATATTATTATATTATATATATATATATATATATATATATATATATATATATATTATATAGAAGTACCACCTCTATAGCTGGACTGGGGACCTCATCTCAGAGAAGACAATAAACGTACCCCAGGAAAAACTCAAGGTTCTCCCGGAGCGTTG